CCGGGGCTGGATGCGGCCCCTCGGCCGCCGCACGCCGCCTCCGCCCTCCCCGCCTCTCCCGGCGGGTCCGCAACAGCGCTGGAAGCTGTGAATCACCCGGGCTGGCTGCATGCCTTGCCGGCTATCGGAGACGCATCGGTTTCGGGGCGCCCCGCGGGGCGTGCGTGGGCCGGCGGGTGCCCCGGTTCCCAGGGGTGCCGGCCCGCGCCGCTCCGCCACACGCAACTTTTCCTCCCGCTGCCAGCGGCGTGTGTGGGAGGCGGGTGCCGGTTCCCAGCCTGGCCCGAGCGGGCTCGGCGGCTGAGTGTGCAGATTGGAGGCTGACATCATGGCAGGAAAAACCTGTCTCCGTGGGGCGGCCTTTCGGTGGCCTTCGGTCCCCGGGCTCCCTGCCCGGCGCAGGACTTTCCAGGTTGATCTGTCATGTGGAAAGATGCGGAGTCTGGCCAAGGGGGGAGGAAAAACACCCTGGAGGTTTTACAGGAACTGGGTGAAGAAAATCCCTGGTCGAGAGCATCGCAGTTCAGATCTTAGTGGGCGACGCAGCAGGAGGGAGCGTGTGACGCTCGCCGGGCTGCGCTGCAAGGGAATGGAGGAGGAGGAGGAGGCTGTAGGCAGGGGCGAAGAGCTGTCTCTCACCCATCTGTAACCACCTCTTCCCTTGCAGGGTGGGTTTGCACGATGTTATGAAATGACGGACCTCTCCAGCAACAAAACCTATGCCGTGAAGGTCATTCCTCACAGTCGGGTGGCTAAACCCCACCAGCGGGAGAAGGTGGGTGCTGTGGGGCTGGTGGGGCGCTGGGCTGGCAGGGTGCAGCAGGGGTCCTGTGCTCACCCAGGACCGCTGCTCCCTTTCAGATCACCAACGAGATCGAGCTGCACCGGGACTTGCACCACAAGCACATCGTCAAGTTCTCCCACTACTTCGAGGACACAGAGAGCATCTACATCTTCCTGGAACACTGCAGTAGGAAGGTGAGCGCTGGTGTGGCCTCCCTGCCAAAGGATCTCCTAAACAGAGCCGTGGCTGACTGGAGCAGGTCTTATCTGAGGTGCTTTGTTAGCACGCTCCTTCTCCTGGGCTGCCTTGCTGCCTGCCCTGTCACACCCTCTGAGGTCAGTCACAAGCTGTGCGGTTTCGCATGGCGCTGGGGACAGCGCTGGCTGCCTGTCCTACTCGGGCTGCCTGCTCTTGTTGGCATCTTTAGCTCCTGGTGAGGCCACCATAAATCCAGTGGTTGCCCTGGTTGTGCTGAGCAACCTCCAGCCTTGTGTGAGGAGTCTGCTGAGGTCATGGCTGTGGAAGGAGGATTATTTGTGGATGTGCAGCTTCTGGAAGAACTGGCTTTGACCCTGCCTGCCCCATGCCTAGTCAGCAGGACTGCCTGTTCTCCCTGCCTGCCATCACTAAGCTTCCTTTTCTCCCTCTGCAGTCCCTGGCCCATATCTGGAAGGCCCGCCATACTCTGCTGGAGCCCGAAGTGCGCTATTACCTCAAACAGATCATCTCAGGCTTGAAATACCTTCACCTCAAGGGCATCCTGCACAGAGACCTCAAGCTTGGTGAGTGCTGTGGTCGAGGCAGGGAACGAGCTGCCCCAGAGGGACTTGTGGTGACACATCTCCCTTGACTTGCAGGCAACTTCTTCATCAATGAAAACATGGAGCTGAAAGTGGGGGACTTTGGGCTAGCTGCTTGCCAGGATACCTCTGACCAGAAGAAAAAGTGAGTTTGAGGTTTCCCTAGTCCAGGGCCCTCTGAGGTTTCACTCTTCTTCCTCCTGCAGCTTCCCGGGAGGGTGGAGGGGTGAGTGGTCCCTCTTGGCCTGGTGAGGGCAAGCCTTAGGGCCCCTTCCTGGGGTGGGGGAGGGATTCCTGCCCCAGCTGCAGGCAAGGCGAGGGGGCTGGGGGCTTTGTGGCTCCTTCAGGAGTGAGCTCGCAGCCGTGGGGGAGAACAATGTGCTGACTATTGCTATTGTGCCTGCCCGGCTGCCCTGCCGGCTGCACGGGCTGGGACACAAAGGCTCTGTTCCTCCCCAGCTCTAGGACAAGCTCTTCCCAATGGCTCCCCAGGAGCAGCTGCTACTGACCCCCAGGAGCTGGAGAGGGGGGGAGTCTGTGTGGGGCTCCTTGCAGATGGAGGGGGGCTTTGGGCCACAAAGAGCAAAATGGAGGGGGGAGGAGGACAGGCTGCAATCTAAATCCCAGGGCTCGGAGCGGGGGGAGGTTGTCTGCGAGGGAATACAGAGCATGCGCTGACCTGGCGCTCTGCCCCACAGGACAATATGTGGGACCCCCAACTACCTGGCCCCAGAAGTGCTGCTGAGGCAGGGCCATGGGCCAGAGTCGGACGTGTGGTCTCTGGGCTGTGTCATGTAAGTCTGTGCTGCTGGGTGGGGAGGGGTCCAGGCAGCCCTGCCTGCGTGGGCTGGGGGAGAGCCGGGCTGTGGAGCAGCCCCGATGAGGAAGTCCTCTTGCGCTTTGCCTCGTGGCTTTGCAGCGCATGCCAAAAAGCAGAGGGAAGGGAACGAGCGGCTGGATCCTGCCCAGCCCCGCTTTGGAGTGGGTGCTGCCCGCCAACCCGGGACGCTGCTCCCGAGGGCTGCGGGAGCTGCGAAGGGCAGGCGCTCTCGTGCCACGCTCAGCTCCGGTTCAAAGCAGGCTCGACCGCCTCGCAAACCTGATAAACAACGGAAAATCTCAGTGGCTGGCGGTTGCTGCCGCTCTGTTGGGGGAGCGATCGCTGTGCTGCTTCGGCGCATCCAGCCCCTTGCCCGGCCGCTGCCCGCAAGCTTCCTGTCCCATTTTCCGCCCCGGTGGCGGTGGCAGAGGGTGGCCTTCGCCTGGCAGCTCTCTCCCCTTCCCCAGGGCTCCTCTGCTGTTGCTCTAAACAGTTTCTAGGAGGAAGCGTGGCCGGATGTGAGCGCGGCTGCCCGGGCTGGAAGTGGTGCTCCCGGCCAGGTGTGGCCGGCCAAATGCCAACAACTTCCCTGCTTTAAGTGCTGCTGAGTCACAAGCCTGGCAGGGATGTGACGGTGGCACGTGTGTCCCCTCCCAGGTACACCCTGCTGTGTGGGAACCCTCCCTTTGAGACCTCTGACCTCAAGGAGACCTACAGGTGTATCAAGCAGGTGGAGTACACCCTCCCTGCCTTCCTCTCCCTGCCTGCCAAGCACCTCATCGCTGGCATCCTCAGACGCAACCCCCAGGACCGCCTCACCCTCGAGGAGATCTTGGATCATGAGTTCTTCAAGGTGAGTGGGTGGGAGTCTGGTGTTGACCTTTCTCTGGGTGGGATGAGGCTTTTGGGGGTGTGCAGGATGTGGTCCTTGGAGCCCAAGTCTCCGTCCTTCAAAGCAAGCAGCCGCTGTCCTGCCCAAATGCCAGCCAGAGGAACTGAGGGATCCGGTGTGCTCTTGCTGCCCTGTCCCTATAACATGGACAATTGCCCATATTAATTCCAGTCGTGGGGCCAAAGCTTGATGGAAATGCAAGCTGGCTGTCAGGAGGGCTGTGAGGGACTGCGGTCAGCCCGAGGCAGCTGCTCTGCCTGGAGCTCGTGGGCTGTGGAAACCAAACCTCTGCCTTGACCTCTCTGCAGGGCTACACGCCTGAGAAGCTCCCTCCCAGCAGCTGTGTGATGGCTCCAGAGCTGAGTCCCCCCAACCCAGCAAAGAGTCTGTTTGCTAAAGTCACCAAGACACTCTTTGGGAAGAAGAAACCCAAGGGTGAGTCCATGTACTTGCCCAGGAGCCTCTGGGTGACCCTTCTTCCAAGGAGAAGTGGGTCCTATCTCCTGGAGAGACATCCTGATGGGTCTTTGTGGACCCCCTGCCCAGGGCCAGCACAAGCTGGGTGTGCCCCTGCCCTTCTGGCTGCTGGTGGCCTGGCATGGGTGTGCGCCTGGAGAGCGGATGCTGTGCTGCAACCCATGGGGGCAGTTCCTCCTGGAAGCCCTGTGTTGCATGAGAACTGGGAAGTGAAAGCGGGAGGCAGCTGCTTGACACCATCCTCACCACTGTGGGCATGGGAGCAGATGAGGGAGAGCTGAGCTTCTGGGAGAGGTGGCCCAGATGTCCCCACCCCCCTGCGCTCAGCAGCGTGCTCATCGCTTGCTTTCTCCTCAGCCAAGAAGGGCTCTTTGGAGGACAAGGATGACATCTCCAAGCTGGTCACTGGGCTGATGAAGACCTCTATCTGCCGGCAGATGAGCTATAAAACCGTGGAAGGGAATGAGGTGAGAATGTCCCCGAGCCTGTGTGCACCCCTCCTTAGGGGAGCAGGCAGGAAGGTGATAAAGCCAGGTATCTCTGCAGGCCACCCCTGTATCATGCCGCAGCGCCAGCTCCAGCCCCGTGGAGACAGTGGTGGAGGAGACATCTCACAAGTCTGTGTCCCCCTCCATCCGGGGGACGATGGCCAGCAGCTGTGAGGGTGAGCAATACCTGCCCAGGCCACCCCAGCCTGCCCCGAGCTTCCCATCCTGCCCTGGCTGATAGTGGGGCCGGCTGACTCAGCCTGTCATCTTCTCTCTGCAGCCTTTGAAGACTGCATCACCGCCTCTGCCATCATCGAGTCGGCTGTCCAGCTCCTGCGGACCTGCCTCTCCTCCATGCCCCTAGGTAAACCAGTTGGACTGCTCTGGGATGGGACAGGGTGCTGTGCATCCCCTTCCCCATGGGATGAAGGCATGGCTGCTATTTGGTGTACCTTAAATGCTGCCCAGAGCCTGCTGTGGGGAGTCCGCTCCCCCCCCGGGGAGGTGAGGTGGGCAGGGGCTGACTGTCTGCTCTGCTCACCCCCTCTCCTCTCCACCAGCGGAGAAAAACCCAGCTTCCCTGGCCCGCCACGAGCACTTTGTCTGGGTGAGCAAGTGGGTGGATTACTCCAACAAGTATGGCTTTGGCTACCAGCTCTCCAACCGCAGCATTGGGGTCCTCTTCAACAACGGCACGCACATGACTCTTTCCCCCAACCACAGGTAAGCGGTGGGGAAGGGGCTGGTGTCCTTGGGGAAGCCCCTCGGGTGGGAAGGGGCAAAAGGAGGCTGTGCTAGGGGTGAGTTTGGTGTTGGGTGGCCCCAAAGCTCATGCTCTGCTCCCTCCCAGGACTGTGCATTACAACCCGACCAACAGCAAACACCTTGTCTTCTCTGTGGCCGCCATCCCCGAGCAGCTGCAGGGACAGATGAGTGTCTTGCGCTACTTTGCATCCTACATGGAGCAGCATCTCATGAAGGTGGGTGCTGGGGCCCTGGGGTGGGTTGGGATCATGGGTGGGTTGAATGTTGGGTCATGGCTTGACCACACTGCTTGGGCCTGTGGGACTCCCAGCTCACAGGCTGTGGTCAGGTGGACACCCAGAGAGCCGTGTCCTCGGAGTGGGGACCCCCCTGGGGGTGTGTCCAGGTTTGGCTGTGTGTATGCTGGTGGCAGTGCTCCCATGTATGGGACCAGTGGCTTATGCAGACCCTTCTCTCCAAGGGAGGTGACTTGCCCAGCACAGATGACCTCGGGCAGCCGGCTCTGCTCCTCCTGCAGTGGGTGAAGACAGACCAAGCCTTGCTCATGCTCTTCAGCAGTGGCACCCTCCAGGTACGTGTGGGGCACAGTGGAGATGCCCAGACCCCTGTGAGGAGGAGGCCAGTGGCGGGGGGACTCCTGGCCTGTGTCAGATATCGTCTGCCACAGCCCAAATGCAAGGTTCAGCTGTGAAAAACAGCTGTGGGTGCAGGATGCTGCTCTAGTGCCCAGAGCTGCTGGTGCAGCTTGTCCAGCTCATGGGGGACATGACACTTCAGTCGGCCGCTCCTGTCTGCCCTGGTGCTGGGGCTGGTGCGTTCCTGCCATGGGGCGTGGAGCAGGGATGCTCCTGGGCAGGTCAGGGAGGAGGAACGGGTTGAGGCAGGAAGCGTGGCTCCATCCTGGCTCCCGACATGCCGCGGGAAGCGTGAGTTAAACCAAGCCCAACCTGTCTCCTAGGTGAACTTCTACAATGACCACACCAAGGTCATCATTAGCAAGCCTGACCATTCCTGCCTTGTCACCTACATCAACCGGGAACGCAACTCCTACACCTACAAGCTGTGCAGCATCCAGGAGCTGGGCTGCTCTCCTGAGCTCCACCGCCGCCTCAGATACATCCTCAAGCTCCTCCAAGAACGGGCTGAGGCCTAGCATGGGACCTTGGGGAGACCTTCTCTGGATGTAGAGGTCTCCCCCTGCCCTCCCACAGGATGGGAGGTATGTTGTGGTGCTGGCTGCCCACCTGGGCACCCTGTATCCCAGTGCTCAGCTGGACTCTGGACTGACATGTGGATGTGGTTACAGCAGCAGGTCTGGACATCCTTGCTGCTCCCTGGCTCTGGGCAATCACTGTCTTCCCACTGACAGCTCCTGGTCTTGGTGGAGTGGACTGGGGTGGCACAGGGAGGTGATGGGTGAGTGCCCTGCAGCCAGGTTTGGGGCTGGCTGTGCCTTGTTTGTAGCCTGGTGCTTCAGCCTGCCCTGGCTGGCAGCTGCTTGCAGTGGGTGCTTGGGCTGTCTTGCCCAAGGTGATGCACCAGCTGCACAGACCCTCTCTATAGCCTGGAGAGGACTGGCATAGCCTTGACCTCAAGGCTTGGCTGCTGTGGGTAGGAAAAACTCCTTCCCAGGAGTGGACAGGGGTGAAGGGCACTGCCTGCCCTGCCAGGGGCTGTGTGGGCTGGTGTATGCCACTCCACAACTGCTACACTAAGGAGGGGGCTGTGCTGGGCCCAGCTGGGCCCTGTATGCTCCCAAATTGTGAATTGTCTGGTACAAGTTGAGGTTTGATAAGGGGGGGGGAGGGATCTGAGGGCTTGCCTGAGGAAGCCCTTGTCTCACTGGGACCCAGGGAGGTTTCTTGTTTCAAGGCAGTCTGCTGTGTGGGACTATTTATGTATCTTATTTATATGGAATTATTTATTTTCCTGTTGGTCTGTCCATGTGCAGCTCCCCTGTCCCTGACTCACCTCAAAATAAAATTTATTTGTATAAGGGCAAACGGTCTGCCTTGCTTGGAGCTGGGGTCACAAAAGGATTTCAGCTTCCCCATCATCCTTGCTCCAGGGCTGCTTCTGCCTGCCAGGCAAGATCCCTCTTGACACTGGCTGTTGCTGGGGGACAGGGTCAGGAAGGCAGGATGGAGGTGAGGAGCCCATGTGGTACCTCTACTGCCCTTCCTGGGGCTGGCAGTAGGGGCAGAGTTAGCTCTTGCTGATGCCTGTGGAGCCCTGGGGCTGCTTCAGCTTTTCCTTGCTGCTGCCAAACTCTCATTCCCAAGTGTCTCTGCATTTAGACCAAACCCAGTTGCTCTCATGCTTCTGCTGAGCTGGAGAAGGCAGGGGCTGTGGCCCAGGGGGTGGGTGGGGTGCCTGGGTCCTTGCACTATGACACCTGGTGTGATGGGATAGGAGCTGGGGATGAAGCCAGGAAAGAGGAGGGACTTTAATCTGCTCCATGAGCTTGCTTTGAAGGTGATCTGTCACCTCCTTCCCCAGTGCTGGTGTAATCAATCTGCCTGTGAGCAGCTTGTGCTGTGGGAAGTAGGCTGAGCTGCTCCCTGTAGCATGGCCTTGGGCAGCTGCCTGCTCCAGGGTAATGCAGCCTTTTGGCTTGCATTTGCTGCAGCTTGGCTCTGCTTGCAGATTGTGGTACTGGAAGCTACAGCATGGGTGTGAGCCCAGGCTGGGGGCTGTAGCAAGCATCAGGGCACTGAGGTGTGTCCATGCCTTGCTCTGTGTGTGTACCATGGCTAAAGACTCCAGGTATGAGCCACAGCTAGAGCAAGCCTCTTTATTTCAGCTGTTTTCCCCCTGTAGCTCTACAAGGCTGGGTGGAGGGAGAGGCAGGTGTTACTCAAAGTAGACCCCATGCACTGTGACCACAGCAAAGAGGGAGGCATTGGAGAAGTTGGCAGAGGCAAAGCTGTCACTCTCAGGGTCCCACAGTGCCCGGCTGGCCACCAGCAGGCTCTGCTGGCCCTGCTGGCCCAGCAGCACATGGCAGACCAGCTTGTAGCGGGGTGGCACTACTTCCTTCACCTGGTTCTGCAGCAGCTCAGCCAGGCTCTGGGCTAGCAGGGCGCTGCCCTGGGGGCTGTAAACCATGGTCCCCAGGGCACTGGCCAGGGCCCCCTCCAGCACCCACTGCACCCGCCCCGCGTTGAACTTGCAGCCTTCGTCTGGCCCCATCCTGTAAGTGTTTTCGAGGCGGGTCTTGAGGATGGGCTGGAAAAGGGGGAGCCCGGAGAAGCTCACGCGGCTGTGGAGCATCCAGGGGCCGATGGAGGGGCGCCTGCCCCCTGGGGCTGCCCCGAGCGAGCTGCGGCGGCTGGCCAGGGGTGCCGGGAGGGTGCTGAGGATGGAGCTGCGGCGGGAGAGCAGGGGTGGTGGTTTGCCCTCCTCGGTGCTCCGGGCTGGGGCTGGGGGCTGGGAGCCACGGCGGGTGGCCCGGAGCAGAGGGGCTTCAGTGTTGTCTGCAGCTGTCACCTGGGCTGGCAGGGCCATCTCTGGGGACAGCTGCTCAGCCATATGGGTGGCCTGGAAAGGAGACGTGGCTTTGAATGTCAGGGGGAGGTGGTTTGTCCCCCAGTCTCTCTATCACACTGCCTCTCTGCTTTGCTTCTCCCTGTCCCCTGCAAATCCCATGCCTCCTGGCATGCGGGTCTCTGTGGGGCTGGATGCAGAAGGGCTGGGGGGACTGCAGCAGCTGCCTTCCCTTCTCCAGCACCTCCATCCCCAGCAGCCTTGGCCAGTTGGGGCTGTTCCAGCTCAGCCACACATGGTCCATCCAACCCCCTGCTCTCCCCTCTCCAGCCTTTCCCCCTGCTATGGGTGAGCGGCTCCTTCCCCTCCCGCCTCCCCAGCCCTCCTGCCTGCATCTGGTCCCACACTTACCCCAGCCTCACTCCTGCCCTGCTGGGGTAAACCCAGGGGACTTGTCTCCAGCTGATGTTGTGTTCCCAGCTAGCCAGAACCAACCTTGGTCCCACAAGTCACAGTGAGCAGGGCTAAACCTGTTGTGTTCCTGAAGCATGAAGTGTTGCTACGTGACACTGTAGCTCTCCAGGGCTGCTCTGGGGCATGGCTCCTGTAACTCCTTGTTTCCTGGTCCCTGGACATCCCTGTCCCCTTCCACTCCTGCCCTGTCTGCATTTCCAGCTGTGCCAGCACAGGGACGTGGTCGCTCAGAGCATGTGTCCTCCAACCTCAGCTGCTCCCTGCTAGCCCTGAAAAATGCTTGCTGGTGTTGAAAGGAAGAGCAGGGGGGTGGAGAACAGACGCTGTGATCACCGCTTTGCACCCCAACCATAGGCTGCACCAGACCTGGGACCTCCAACAGCTTGATTTTACCCATAGGTTTGCATCCTTCAGGTACTTATCCCCCCTGCACCAAGGGAGAGCGTTGACAGGTGGGCACCCACTGAACACAGCCCTGCCACGTGCTGGGGACCCTGCTGCCGCAATGCCCTGGCCCAAGGGCAGGTTTGCTGGGGGCTCCTGACCCCAAGCGGGGTTTCTCTCCGACGGCGGAGCCCAGCCCAGCTGGTACGCCACGGCTGCCCCGTCAATGTGCCTTTGTCTAGTCCAGCTGCTGAGCTATTTGAGGAAAGTGGAGACGGCTTTTGTGTTTCTATCTCCCGTCAAAGGTATTTATAGCCTGCCGCTGACTAGCGCTGCCAAGCGCGCTGGCAGCTGGACCCCGCTCCCTCAGGGTGCTGCCATCGGCTGCAGGTCCTGCTCCTCCCTTTCCCTCCTACTGCCACTGGCAAGCGAAGTGGGTCCCTCCGTGGGCATCCTCCCTGCGTCGCTGTCTGTGGGCTGCTCAGAGTCAGCCAGGCTTGTGAAAAAAAGGGATGGGGCATCCCCTGGCACAGCACTTGGTTTGGGCTTGGGCAAGGCTGGTTATGCTTTTTCTTGCCTGTGATCACTTGTGTCCTAAGCAGACACGAGAGCTGCAGGGCTTTGGCCTGGAGCATCGGCAGGAGAGAAGGCTTTTGCCGTTTCAGGAGGCAGATCTCCCCACTGGGCTCGAGTTTGCTCCACTGCCAGTGCTGGGGACCCAGCCATGCCCAGCGGCTTTCCGTGGGGGCTGTGCATGCGGAGGTGGGGGTGATCTTTGCTTGTTTAACCTGTGCATGTGTTGCCTTTTCCAAAAATCCCAGCCGCCTGCCTCCCTTCACCTCCAACTGCCCCATCCACAGGCTCCTCCGCAGCAAAGCAACCGGCTGGGGGGCAAGCCCCGTGCCGGTGGTGCCGGGGCCATGCTGCAAGCCACGGCAGCGATACGCCACTCAGACCGAGATGCAGGCCTGCTTCCCCGTTCCGATCCCATCTGGCAAACGCCCAGCCAGAGCCGCCTCGGCAGCAAGGGTGGGCTTCGCCGCTTCGCCGCCCCCCCCTTTCTCCCTCCCGCTGCCTCCCTGACAGCCGGGCGGCCTGGTCCCGGTGCTGCCTGCCAGGTTTCCCTAGCAATGCGCCATGCCGTACGGCGCAGCGGCCTCCTCCCTGCGGCCTCCCCAGGCCGGCCGGCCTGCCTCCCGCCTGCGCCGCCTTCCTCCGCCGCCCTCCCCAAGGCAGCCCATGGCCGGACCCTGCTCGGCGCGGCTGCAGGGCGAAGCGGCCGCCTTCACCGCCGCCCTCCGCACCCTGGTCAACAACCCCCAGTTCAGGTGAGGGGCCGAGGGGCCGCCAACCCCCCCCCCCCC